CCGCTCGCACCTTCCCCTCACTTCTCCTGGCTATGCCCTCTGGGGCCAGGTGGAGCAAGGGCACTCTATCCCATGTGACGGACGGCCCTTCGACTAGAGGGCCTGAAGATGACAATCGTGCCCTCCACGTCGTCTCCACAAGGCTCCGGTCTTTCCTGACGACACGACAAATCCCTCGTTTCGTGGCCCACATTATATCTGCATCTCTCTGTTAGGCTGTTCAGCATCACACTATGTGCTAATTGTCCCTGCAATACGCGGCTTCAGGCTGATGGGCGGCCAGTCCACGCTCCTGTGCTCTGCCCTTAACTGTCCTCAGCCTGGAATGTTTCATTCCCTGTCACATGGATTGGGAATGGCTTTCTTCCTTGGCACAATGGAGAGGGGGTTGGCAAAGGCTGGAATTCTGGCTCTGACCTGCTAGCTGTGAGACTCCAGAGAAGCCATGTGATGTCTCTGGGCCCTCAGTTTCCTCAGGTGTAAAATGAGGATACGATTACTTGCCCTGTCTGGCTCATAAGGCTCTTGTGAGGAAGCAGTGTGGCAAGCGGAAATGTGACTTATCTGGAAGGTGCCCTGAGACCTTTCAGCTGCTGGTCCTCAGTCCTAGATGTGAAACTGCATTACCCAAGCTAAGAAGGCCAAATGGAGGCTCTTGTACATTCTTACGGGGCCAGTCTCAGGGCCAGAATGCCGATCTGGAACCACTTTGCCCTCTATTCAGCACATTCTTTGCCTTTTCCTCAGATTGTTTTTCCCTCGAAAGTCTACTTGTGTGTGTGCGTGCGTGTGCGTGTGTGCGCGTGCACACACTGGGTTGCACATTTTTTATTATTAGGTTACAGGTAATTCTTGGGTAAGTGTTGATTAAAGTCAGAGAAGATTAATCTCCTTTCCCGGGGCCCCTGCAATCCTCACTGGGCCTGTCCTCACTGATTTACCCAGGCAGAAATTCAAGCCTGCGACTTTTTTCTGGGGATCACCTTCCTGTTTCTGAGAGGGGACCTGAGTTCCTTCCTTCAAGATAAAGAGAAGAGCATCTCTCCCGCCCAGCCCAGACCCCTGTGGCCAGGCTTAGGCCCTATGCAGCAGGAGCAACATAGCCAAGCTCTGCATGTTAGAAAGCACTCGTGTAAGCGGCGCTGGCCTCCAGTCTGGCTACTTGGGTGAGAGCCTCAGCTACTGCAGTCTGGAGACCTTCTCCTCTCCTTCCTCCCACCGCCCCCCCCCCAACCCAGTAGGCTCTCTCAACTTTCTATGAAGGATGGCAATATAGCCCCAGGAAACCATTTGTGAGCCACTGAATGAGCCCAAAGACCTTCAAGGCTTGGACACATTCTCTGAAGAACAAGGTCAAGAGCTGCCAGTTCTTGGCACCCAAGGTTCCTGCTTTTAGAGTAAGGACTGAGAGAGGCCTGTTATCAGAGTCGGTCCATGTTAGACACACCCTAGGTGTTTTCTGACAAGATGGAGCAGTCTTAGCCATGAGGAGAGACCTTCAGCTGCTGCTCAAACAGACCTCACAGCAGCTGGTGCCCACGTCAGGTAAGGCATGGTAAGACGTCACAGGGCATCCTAAAGTTTTGCTGGGAGGCCTAGAATTTACAGCCCTTGACTTCAGTGAGTGACCTCAATTCTGTATAAGTGGTGGGAGCTTAGGGAGGCAGAAAGAAGCCAGAAGGCAACTGCCCCTCCAAGGAGACTTACCAAACTGTCAGTCAAGAAGCATTTAGTAAGCCCTTACTATGGGCCAGCACTGTGCTAAGTGCTGGGGAAACAGAGAAAGGTAAAAGGCAGTCCCCATTCTCAAGGGGCTCCCAGTCTAACGGGGGAGACAACACGCAAACAACATCTAATGCAGACAGCAGCGTAAAGAAATGCAGCTTTAACTCGAAGTTTCGCTCAGCCTGTCCTGCCTTTCCAAAGTAAGCCTGGCAACACAAAGGAGCCCTGCCTGCTCCCCTACTGTCTTCACAGCAGCCTCGCCTCAGAAGAAACAATCAGAGCGGCTCACTGCCCCTGGCTTTGGGGCCTTCCGGGAAGCAACTGGAGTACCCTGCTCAGCTGCTCTATCCCAGCCTGCCTTTCCATTTCAAAGCTAAAGGGATCCTGGCCTCTGGTCAGCTCTGGGGTTACTAGGTCCCCTCTCCTCCCAGTGGCCCTGCAGAGGGCAGAAGCTGCCACCGTTACTGCCTTAGCCCATGCCCTGACTCCCTCTAAGGCTCCCTGCTTCCACCCTGGGCTCACATTTGACAAGGGCTCCACGGCTGCCTTCCTACAACTCTCTAGGTCTGGTCCCCCCCTAGCAAGGGAGTGGGGACCCAGGGTCCGACTGAGGGCACCCGGGAGGAGAGGGCCAAGAAGGAGGCTGGTCAGGCTGGTTCTCATTCCTTAGGTCAGAGAGCAAGGTTAGGAAAGGATGCTCATGGGGAGGCATTATGGAGGAGAGGCAGCGACGTGCCTGGCGAGGAGGGGGTGGCCCCATTTGCTGAGGTAGCCTGCCACCTAGTGGACAGAGCTCCCACTCCAGGCTGCTCTCTAGGCTGCTTCCTCTGCCCAAATCCATCTGTCTCTTTTCCCTGACCCCCTGCCCCCCAAGCTCCAGTGACTATGCCAACTCGGCAGATACCATGTCTTTGACCCCTAAAGCCCCCTGCACCAGGGCTTTGGGGGAAAACCCAAAGTTTTTTTAAAATCTGACCAAGGGCAGGGGAGAGAAGGGAGGACCTCCCACCATGGCCAGGACAGGCAGAGGGAAGAGACCAGGCCCCTCTTCTCAGCTCCAAAGCCCCAAGTCTTCCAGGAAGGGCAGCCTGCCTCTTGTTTCTTATCCAGAGAAGGGAAACAATGGGGTGCCTGTGTGATTTTCAGATGGCCGGCTGGTGTAAGGGATCCTGTTCCTCCCAGCTCAGTTGCTTGGCGGGGCCTGCCCCCTCTCCACCTCCTGCGCTCAAGAACCCCCAGGCCTCTGGTTTGTTTCCCACTGTCCCACACTTTGGTGCCAGCTATAGGTGACAACAGCCCAGGGGCTCTCAGCAGGCTGCCCTCTCGAGGAGAATTCAGCGAGGCTGGCCGCACAGCTGGGCTGCTGACCTGGCTCATCATGGCACCCGCAAAGCACGGCAGGGCTGGCCTTTGGTCAGCCCAAGGGCACCCATGCAGAGGGGCTACTGTGGCTTACTTCTGCCTGGGAGCAGCTCCCCATTCTGGTAGAAAAGCAGCAGCTACTTAAAGGCACTGGGACCTCCTTTTCCCAGGTCAACAGAGCTGACCTTTGTTCCCACCCATCGGCCCAGCTGGGTGAGACAGAGCTCTGGCCTTTCCCCAGCTCAAATACAGGCTCACTCAGAGCTCCTAGCATATTCTACAGGGAAAAGGGTGGCCTGGGAGGGAAGGTGAAGCCCCCAGGAATTCCAGACCTGGTGGGGCTCTAAGGTTTGGTTTGTGGGCACAGCTTGGCAAATCCAAATGACTGCATGTGACAGAGGATGAAGGCAAAGAAGAGGCTACAGCAAAAAGTGACAACAGCCTGAGCACGACCCCAGCTCTTTTTCCAGGATGGTTCGGCTCCTTTGAGCATCTGCTGAGTGCCCTGTAGCCTGCTCCAAGCTGAAGTGCCTGGCCTGGCTAGTGATGCCCTCAGAGAAAACATACTAGATAAGCCCTGGAGAGGGTGGGAAAGAACTCTGAAGAGTGATCCTTTAGCTGTCCTCTGGAGCCCCTGGCCTCCTGGGCTCTCTCTCCTCCCCCAGCCTCCAACAGTGTGAGCCAGACTGCCCAGGCTTGTCTGCATGAGGTTGCTGCCCAGGCCAATTCAGATTTCTGCTGAGCTGGGCCACATGGATCCCATCACACCCAAGCTTCAGTATTTGTCAACCAGTCCCTGAAAGAGGCAAAGAGCCCCAAGATAGAAGACAGACTACTTGGTCATGGATCTAGGTCAGTCTTACGGAGAAGCTGGAACCCTCCCACAAGCCCCTGGCATTTACCAGCCCTGCCCACCTCGAGCTCAGATGACACAGATAAGCAAATATAAGAATCAGCAGTCCTGGCTCAGAATCCTGAGAACTCTGCCCATGAGGCACAAGAACCATTTTTACTTTGGCCAGAACAAAAGTCAGGGAATGTCTCTATAGTTAGTAATTCCACTATGCCCCCCAAAAGAGGAGAGAACCTGTAGGTCAGCCAAATCAGAGGGCCATGGGCAAACTATGTACAGGACGGGCAGGTCCTAAGGAGGGAGGGAGGAAGACAGGAGAGAATCTCAGACCCCTGGGGCCAGGGAGGCTGTGTCAGCACTTAACTTGTTTGCAGGGCTGAGCCTCTGCTCTCCCCAAACCATGAAGATGTACAGGACATTCAAAATGTCTGCCAGGCCTGGGGGTTAAAGAGGCTGCTCCTTCTCTAAGTCCTCAGAAAACAGTCCTCCTAGGCCAGGCCAGAAAGGCCACCTCAATCCCAGCTTCAAACTGAAGGCAGAGGATGCAGAGACAAAGCCCAAAGCCTTCTCAGATAAACAGGGCTGCAGCACCTAGCTGCACCTAGCATCATAACTGGTCAGAAGAGGGCCCAGTAGCTGACTGCTGATTCACTCAGCTCCCATTCAGGAAAGGGAAGGAAGCTTACTTTGAATGTACATCTATGTGCACATCTCCCTCATGGGATGGAACGAAGTACTTCTTAGGGAAGCACTATGGGCCAACGACCTCTGCTAAGTACTAGGGATACAAACAGGAAACCCACTGCTAAGGCGCAGGGCTCAGGGCCTGGTGGGTTGCAGGCAGAGCAGGCTGGATTCCTGCTCTCCTATCTCTTCTATCCCACTGACAGTCACTGTGGTCGCACACGAGTGTCTCCCCCTCCATCCCATGTAAATGGTCTGTCATTTTCCAAAGGCCCAGGGCCTTCATTATCACAAGAAAGGCCTCGAGAAGAGCCTGCAGTGAAGCCACCGTCTCCCCTGGGCACCATCTTGCTCCCCATGCTCTGCCCCAACTCACCCTGGTCGATGGAGTGCGATGGGAGCTGGCTGAGCTGGGTGCTCACGACCCCCGCATAGGTCCGCAGGAACTCTTCCTCGCTGGCTGTCAGCTGCAAGGGGAAGGGCAGAAAGCATTGTTGCCTGCCAAGGTGCAGGGCCTATCTGTCATCCCCAAACACCAAGGCACGCTCCTCCTCTCTGCTCCTGTCTAGAGCGGCGGCATTCTCTTCTGCAAGTATCCCTCTATCTCGTCCACCTTGACCCTCTCCTGGGCACTGAGCACCCAAGCCCTGCTGGCTGGGGCATTTGGGGAACAAGTCACTGAAGGCTCAGGAAGAAGTCCGTGTGTATGTCTTAAAAATCTTCAGCCCCAAAGCTGGACAAGACCCTGATCCTCGGGGGCAACTAGGTGGCGCAGTGGATAAAGCACTGGCCCTGAAGTCAGGAGGACCTGAGTTCAAATCCAGCCTCAGACCAAACACTTGACACTTACTAGCTGTGTGACCCTGGGCAAGTCACTTAACCCCAATTGCCTAAAAAAAAAAAAAAAAAAAAAGACCCTGATCCTCAACCCATGGCCCCTGGTTGCCACAGGATCAAAAAAAGCCTCCTGGTCCTAAATACCAACCGCTTCTAGAACCCCAAGGGACCCCGGGAGACCTGGGCTGTCTGCTCCCAGCCCAGAGTGCTCCTGACTCAAAAGCCTCATCCCCATTCCTTAGCCACCATCAGGCTCCTTCACAGACATTACCGCCCCATGCCCGAGCCACGCCTGGGGCTCTGAGGCTGCTTCCACGGAAGTAGGAGCCTCTGTACCCCCTCTGTCCCAGGAACTGTCACACGCTTTGTCCCGGAGTGGGGACAAGACGACTTCCCCAGGGACACAGCTCGGCTCACCCACTGGGCACGGCCCATCCCTGCTCCAGGGGGGCAGTGTTTCCCACCCTGGCCCCCCGTCGTTAGCGTGACACAGAACTTACATTGGATCCCATCTTCCTCAGCATGAGCAAGACCCGAACTTTCTGCTGAATGTACATCTCCTCCGGACTCTTCCCGGGAGCTCCCTCACGGTTCATTCCCCTCAGTCCAACTCCAGAGATTCCTGGGGATCAAGCGACAAAGTCCAAGGGTGACGCTGAGAGACACACCTAGAGTTATGGAGCTGGGGCCTGCTGGGGAACTCAGTACTTTCCTCCCTCCCCAAGCCACCTTTTTAACCCCAGAGGGCAGGCTTTGTTAGTAGCTTGACAGCTGGCCTGGAATGCTTGGGAATCTCATTACTGACAGCTTGGAGACAACATCAGGTCCTCTCTTCCTCCCCACTGCCAGCCTTGGCCAGCTGGATTGAGCAGCTATGTCCAGCAGCAGAAGCCAAGGACTGAGAAGGGATATGGAAGAGAGCGCCAAAGACATACCAGCCGCTCTTCTCAACAGTGCCAGGCCGGCCTCCCCAGGAACATTCCCTGAGCCACCCCCCATACAAGCTCTGCTGCAGTCAGTCAGCAGAGGTCCCAGGGTATGGATGACCTCTCTTATCTCTCCTGATTAGGGTGCTGTCTGTGTCCACTCGGCTTCCTCTCTCTGAAAGGGGCAGTGCAGGAAGTGAATGTTTTAAAGGCCCTGGGTTTCCAAACCAAAGCCAAGTACCAGAGCCAGAGAAGGACAAGCTTGTGTGGGTTTTGGGCTCCAGGAGCTGGAGGTTTATCATTGTGGAAAAAGGAATCCACTAAACTTACCCCAACACACACCCCCACACACCCCCACACAGCCATTCAAAGCATAACCAACTCAACATCCCATACACCGTGAGCCACAGCCATATCCTAAAGTCAGTTCTGCTTACTGATTTTCTTTGTCACAGAGGAGCCATGTTGGGGAGAGGTATATCAGGATATGACTGAGGTATGAAAGACAAAAAGAATAATCCTTAAAAAAAAACAACCCAAATGATATTTGGCTCTAAAAATTGAGGCTTATTCCCAAGGCCCAACCAAAATGGACTGACAAGTGGTCCCACTGTTTTCAACAATCCGCACCTAGGCTAGAACAGACAAACAGGGAAAATAGTCTTAAGAGAGTTCTGAACAAATGACAGGAAGATCAAGCAGCAGGAAGTCCTGTCCTCATTAGAAAAATGATTTGGGAAATAGAATAAAGACTTTGGAGGTCTGGCTGTCTTTATATTTGATGCTAGCAGCTAATTTGTCTGTGGGCCAGCAATTGGGGAGGAACTGGCCTCCCTCTCAGTTTCAGTGCCTGGGCTCATAGGATCATAGATTTAGAGTGGGAGGGGGTCCCAGAGGCCATTTACTCCAACCCCATCATTTTATGCTAGAGATTATCCCACTCCAATTTCAAAATGGATGTCAGCGATCTTTGAGAGTAATCCTAATGGAAGAGGTCTCTCTAGGACTGGAAAAGGGCAAATGTTATACTGATTTCCAAAGTAGGAAGACAGTAAATAGCATTAGCAAACTATAGGTCCATGGGCTTGATTTCAGTCCTGAAAAATTCACATTGTAAAAGGGATGGTTGGTAAACATCTAGAAAAGGAAGCAATGATCCCAAAGAGCAGCTGGCACGGCTCCAAAAACAGGTCATGCCAAACTGATATCATTTCTTTTTTTGACAAGGTTACTATGCTGGGAGATGGGGGAAATGTTGCAGATAGTCTATATGTTAGCAAAGCATTTGACAAATTATCTTATTCTTGTCGACAAAATAGCCAAATATGGGGCTAGAGGATCATATAATTAATTGGATTCAGAAATGGTCAAGTGGCCAAGCCCAAAGAGATGGTCATTAACTATGCTGATGATCCTCAAATATACCTGTTCGGTCCCAAACTCTCTGCTGACCTCCACTCTCACATCTCCAAGTGCCTTTCGGTCATCTGAAACTGGTTGTCTAGCAGACCTCTTAAAGTCAATATGTCCAAAACCAAACTCATCATCCTACCTTCTCTATTACCGTAGAGGGCATCACCATCCTTCCACTCTCTCAGGCTCACCACCTAGGAGTCGTCCTGGACGTCTCTCTATCTCTCCGTTTCTCCGTCTCTCCCTCTCTCTCACCACCATGTTGAAGCTGTTGCCAAGGCCTGCCAATTTCACATTTGCAACACCTCTCACATGCGCCCCCTTCTCTCCTCTGACACTGTCATCTGTCTGGAGCAGACCCTCCTTACTTGCACACATGGATTATTGCAATCACCTACTGGTGGGTCTACCTGCCTCAACTCTCTCCCCACTCCAATCTACCTTCCATTCAGCCACTAATGCATAGGTCCAACTATACCACCTCTATATTCAAACAACCCCAATGGCTTCCTATCTCCTCCAGGACCTAATACAAAAACCTCTCCTTGGTATCTTTTAAAGCCCTTCCTACCTTTCCAGTCTTCTCATAGCTTACTCCCCGACATATACTTTTTGACCCAATAACACTGGCCTCCTCTCAGCTCTGGGCATTTTCTCTGGCTGTATCTCAAATCTGGAGCGCTCTCCCTTCTCCACTCTGTCTCCTGACCTCCCTGGCTTCCTTCTGGTCCCAATCAAATTCTATTTTCTTTAGGAAGCCTTTCCCAACCCCTCTTAATTCCAGTGCCTTCCCTCAGTTAGTTATTTCCTATTTATCCTATATATAGCTTGCTTTGTCTATATTTGTCTGCATTATAAGATTATAAGCTTCTTGGGGACAGAGGCTGTCTTTTGCCTTTTTGTACCCTCAGCTCCTGGCATACAGTAGGTACTTCATGCTTACTGATTGATCTGATGTCAACTTGCACAGAGAAGGTCTCTAAGGCAGGGTCCCAGGAGTCAGCTCTAGACCATTTTAAGTAATGCCTTGGATGATGGCCCAGAAGCCCATTTATAAAACTTGCAGATGACACAAAACTCAGAGGGATGGTTGCTAACACATCAGCAAAGAAAGAGCCCAAAAAGACTGGACGGGACAGACTGGAGCCCTGAGCTGAATCTAGTAAACTGACATTTAATGGGGATAAAAGGGTAGCCCCGTTCTTGGGTTCCAAATACCACACTCATCATTTCAAAAGCGGGAGGCTGTGGATTGTCTGAAAAAGATCTGGCTCCACGTGAGTCGGCGACATGATAAAGCCCTCCGGAAAGCTAATGCCCTCTCGTGCTGTCTCACAAGGCAGTTGATCTGGGGCTAGAGAAGAGACAGCTTATCTGTACTCTGCCCTCGAAGACTACCTGAGGAGCTCTTAGAGCCATACTTTAGGGAAGACAATGATAACCTGGCATGGCCAGTAGCAGAGTGACGAGTCTGGGACCAATCATGTCATGAGGATCAAATGGAGAACTGAGCATGTTTAACCTAGAAAAGAAAAGACTCGGGGCGGGGGGGGGGGGGGACAGAGACGGACAGAGAGCCATCTTCAAGTGTGTGAAGGGCTATCATATGGGACCTTCTGCTCAGCCCCGGGGGCAGGACCAGGAACAACGGAAGAAGCTGCCATGAGGCACCTAACAACTGAAGCTGTCCCAGAGTGGAAAGGCTGCCTCTCGAGGTACGGGTCCTCTTCCTTCAAGGTCTTCAAGGGGAGGCCAGCTGACCGGGTAGCAGGGATCTTTTTTTCAGGCCTGGCTTGGACCAGATGGACTCCAAGGTCCCTTCTGAGGCTATGATCATGTCGAAGGGTCAGGGACTGCCCCAGGGGAGCCCTTTACAAAGAAGCGAGGCCTACACTCGCTTGGGCATGGATCTCCTCACCACTTCTTGCCCATCTAGTCCTGAGGCTCTTGGCTCCTCACTGCTCCACCCTCTGCCTTCCCTTCACCTTGCATCTGGAAGGGAAAGGGCCCTGTGCAGCCTTCTTAGCAAGTGGCAAAGCAGAACATTCCTCCTAAAAAGTCTTCCTGTGGGAGGAGACCACAAGTGCCATGTAGGCTGGGGGAAAGCACGCCCAGGTTAGAGAAGGTTTGGTGAGAAGGCTGCAGGAGACTTTCTAACACAGCTCCAGCCAGAAAGTTCAGAGACAGGTGAAAGGATGACCTGCCACTTTGGTGCTTGATGTCCTGATCTCCCAGGCCTTTTATTAAATATGCTAGTGCATTAATACCTACACTACAAGGCAATGACAGGCTTGGGCCACACTCAGCTCTTTTATGTAAAATCTGCAGCTCTTTGGCTCTGAATTAAAACATTAAATTGAATCAGTCTCTAGGAGGCTTAAAATGGTCACGTGTGGCTCTTTTGGTTAGTAGTGGCTGCAAAGATGGCTCCAAGGCCACTGAAGCTTAAAACATCTTAAAGACCAGTGCTTCCATGTGCCCCTCAAATGTCAGTACGTAGGTAGATAGGCAGAGCACTGATTAAGCCCACACTATACACCAAGACACCACACTAAGTGTTGGGGATACAAGAAGGAGCATATAGCTGGGGGGGAGGGGGGAGTTTGGACTGCTGCCCATTGTCCAATACTTCTCTATAGCAACAGGAAAGCAGTTTAAGAAGGGGATTGAAAAAAATTGGAAATGGCCAGAAGAGGGCAGTAACCAAGATGGGGGAAAAGCCTCTAGATCATGCCACAGGAGGATTAGCTTAAAAAAAAACTGAACATGTTTAGCCTGAAAAGATGAATTATGGATGACATAAAAGCTGCTGCCATGTGGAAGAGGAATGGATTGGTTCTGGGAGGGAAGCTTCAAAAGCAAATACAGGACTGAAGTCAGGAAAAACTTCCTAATACTTAAAGCTGTCCCCAAACGGGACAGGCTGCCTTGGAAGGCCGTGCTGACCCATTCCGTGGAGGCCCAGGGCAAAGGCTGGACGAGTTCTTTAGGGGGAGCTGCAAGGAGGCTTCTTTTGCTGGTAGAGGAGGCAGTGGACAGCCTCCAAGGGAAGGCCTTTCCAATCCGGCCTCCTCCAAACCCCAGCTCTGCTTTCTCCAAGAATCTCATGCCATCAGCCATTCTGCATATGCTAAGCAGACCCCAGAAATGCTCAGGAATAATTGGCCCCCAAGCAGACAGGAGTTTGAGGAGTTCACAATTTCTTTTCTTTTTTCTTTTGCTAAAATTTAACTTTTATTTTTGTTACATTTTAAGTTCCAAATTGTCTCCCACCCCACCCTGCACTAGAAAAGGCCACCCCTCCCTCCCTCCCACCACACACACACACACACACACGTATCTATGTACATATAAAACCATACTCTATCAGTTCTTTTTCTGGAGGTGGGTAACATCTTCCTTCATAGGTTCTTTGTAGTTGATCTGAGTATTTATAATAGTCAGAATAACTTAGGCATTCATATTTATTCTTCGAACAATATTGTTGTTACTGTATACAACATTCTCTTGGTTTTGTGCATTCCTTCATTATTTCTCGAAGGTCTTTCCACGTTTTTCTAAAATCAGTCAGCTCGTCATTTCTTATAGCACAGCAGGATTCCATCACAATCATATGCTACAATTTGTTTAGCCATTCCCCAATAGGTGGGCATCCCTGAAATTTCCAGCTCTTTGTTACCACAAACACAGCTGCTATCAATATTTTAGAACATACAGGTTCTTTTCCTTTCTCCCCATCACCTTGGGAAACAGACCTAGTAGTGGTATTGCTGGGTTAAAGGATATAAACAGTTTTATAACTCTTTGGGCATAATTCCAGACTGGTCTCCAAAACGGTTGGATCAGTTCACAATTCCACCAATAGTGTTAGTGTCCCAATTTTTCCACATTCCCTCCAACATTTACCACTTTCCCCTTCTATTATTTTAGCCAATCTGATAGGTGGGAGGTGATATTTCAAAGATGTTTTCATTTGCATTTCTCTAATCAAAAATCATTTAGAGCATTTTGTCACATGTCTATATATAGCTTTGATTTCTTCATCGAAAAAGTGCCTGTTCATATCTTTTGACCATTTATTAGAGAATTACTCCTATTCTTATAAATTTGACAAAGCTCTCTATATGTTTGAGATATGAGACCTTTATCTAACAAACTGTCTACAAAATTCCCCCCCCCCCCAGTTTTCTGCTTTCTTTCCAATCTTGGCTACACTGATTTTATTTGTACAAAACCTTTTTAATTTAATGTAATCAAAATATCCATTTTATACCTCACAATGCTCTCTATCTCTTGTTTATTCATAAATTATTCTCCTATTTATAAGTCTGATAGGTAATAGGTTCAAGGTAGTTTGTCATTTCAAACCGACCCAAAACCAAGTTTTGACGTTGGTTTCTTCAAACACAGAACAGAGTATGAGTGCTGGCCACTAGGTGTCAGGCTGACCAAAGCACCAGAGGGTCAGCACCCAGGTTTTGCTGGGAAAGTGCTGTAAGGAGGGGTTGCATGGAGAGCAAGCTCCTAGAAGGTTCCACTTCTGACCCAGATGAGCTGTTCCTTTGACCCAAAGGTAAACCACCTTCAGGAAAACAAACCACATCAAGCTCCTCCCTTTTTCTTTTCTTTTTTTTTTTTAATGTCATTTCCGCTCTGCTTCCCATGTGGGGTTCAAAGTGAAAAGTAGTTTATGTAGAGGGCACCAAAAGATCATTCTAAGATCTATTTAACATGGACAGTGATGTCACTACAGGGACAGAAGTCTGATTTATTAGACAGCTACTAAGCACAACAGCTCCTGGATGGCTCTGTTCAGCTGTGTCCGACTCTTCAGGACCCCATGGACCATACTGCACACCAATATTGTCTGTGGGGTTCCCCTGGCGAAGATGCTGGGGTAGTTTGCCATTTCCTTCTCCAGTGGATTAGGGCAAATAAAGGCTAAGTGATTTGCCCAGGGTCACACAACTGGTAAGCATCTGAGACTGGCTTTGAACTCAGGTCTTCCTAACTTGAGATCCAGTGCCCTACCCACTGAACCACCTAGTCAGGAAGACCTGAGTTCAAATCCTGCCCTAGCCACTTACTGGCTGGTGATACCAGACAAGTCACTTAGTCTTCCTGTGCCTCAGTTTCTTCATCTGTAAAATGAGGACGGCTGGACTCAATCATTTCTAAGACCTCTTCTGGCTCTACATCTGTGTTCCTATGATTTTAAAGGCCAATATTATTTGCCTTTTCTTTCTCTTTCTGTTGCCCTCATCACTTTCACAAGGATCTTCAATTCTACATGCTATAATTATAGAAGTAATTATAGACCCAAGCCTAACAAAAAAACATCAGGGACTGCTCCCTGTCTCACCTATTTCCATCAAAACGAGCACTTGGGGTTTAGCTTAGCTAGCATTTATACAGCGCTTTAAGGGCGGCAAAGCTCTTTCCACATGTTATCTGGACTTGACCCTCACTTGAGCAGTAGGTCTATTATTAACCTTATGTTACAGATAAGGAAACTGAGGTAGACAGAGGTGAAGTAACTTGCCCAGGGTCACACAGCTGGAGTCTGAGGCAAGATCTGAACTTGAGGGCTACCTGACTCTAACCACTGGACTACCCAGCTAGAGCTGAAGTCAGGCTACCACACAGTTAACTGTGTTTCCTTTGGAGAAACTGTTTAATTTGCTAAGAATTTGCTTCCTATAAGCAAAAAAAAAAAAAAAAAAAACTTCATTCTTCTCAATATTTGGTCTGTATTTTAGCATTCCTAAGCTTCATTCTGCATTTCTGGGTTCTTCCCATCCTTGACTCCAAAAAGAAGGTCATCTTCACTCAGAGGGTAGAAAGACCAACTGAAAGAGGGCAGGAAGGCTTGGGGGTCAGAGTCCTGGACTTGGGCAGAAAGACCCAGGTTCATATTTGGTGCTATCTGCTTACTCCCTGTGGCTGTGGGCAATTAATCTCTCTGAGCCTCAGTTTCCCCATCTGTAAAATAGGGATAACAACTGCAATAATAATAGTAATGAGTATTTATATAGCACTTTGCAAAATGCTTTACAAATACCACCCCACAGGTTGTATTGAGGCTCAAATGTGATAATATACTCAAGTTCTTTGAAAATTCATTATTAAATGGATGGGGATTTGGTTTAAAGGCACTGCTTTTTTCTCTCTTTCATTCCAATCCATATGGCTTTTAAAAATGACATCATAGATACCCAGCCAGAAGAGTAGACAGAGCCATGAGTGTGATAGCAAGTGAACAAGTCAAAAAAGAACAAGTCAGATTGAGTCTTTACCAAGTATGCCTCAGGGTCACTGGCGGATTGGTCAGGCAGCCTATGGAATTTTAGTTGCCATTCAGACCAAGGTCATATTAGCAACTCTAATTCCCCCCCCACCAAAAGGTGCCAAGAATTGGTAACTATTTCCTTAGGTTAAAGTTCCGTGACTGTAGCTTGATGACTTGCACTTATCATTCAGTCTTTTGTTTTCAGTTGGGGGGAGATTAGGAAAGGTTTCATCAGAAGGTAGCACTGGAGCCGAGTTCTGAAGGAGACAAGGGATCCTAAGGCATGGAAGAGAGGAGGGAATGCATCCCAGACATGAGGGACAGTCAGTGCAAAGGCACTGGGATGGGAAATGGAGCCTCATGTTTGAGGAACAGCAAGAAGGCCAGTCTGGCTAGACTTCAGAACACAGAAAAGGATACCAGTGTGTGACAAGGCTGGAAAGCTAGGCTGGGCCCTGGACATAAAAAACTTTAAAAGCCAAAAAGAGCAGGTTATATTTGATCCTGAGGGCAGGAGAAGCCATTGAGTTTACTGAGTAGAGGAGGGAGAGACAGGGGCAGACCTGCAGTTTGCTACAGTTTAGGAAAATTACTCTGGCAATCTTGTAGAGAATGGGTTGGAGTAGAAAGACACTTTAAGCACAGAGACCAATTAGAAGGCTATTGTAATAGACCGGTCAAGAGAGAATGCAGGCCTGACCTAGTGGGAGGCCTGTGAAAGTAGAAAGGAGATGAATATGGAAGATGTTGTTGAGAAAGAAACAATGAGATTTGGATAAATAGGGTGAAAAAGTTGAGGAAGGAAAGAAAAAAAGAAACAAGCATTCATTAAGTACCAACCAGGTGCCAGGAACCAGGCTAAGTGCTTTATAGAAATTATCTCATTTTATCCTCACAACTCTAGAAGGTAAATGCTATTATCATCCCTGTTTTACAGATGAAAAAACTGAGGCAGTCAAATGTTAAGCAATTTACCCAGGGTCACACAGCTAGGAAATACCTGAAGCCAGTGAACTCAGGTCTTCCTGACTTTAGGCCCAGCTCTCTACCTACTGTGCCACCTACCTACCTAGGTAGAAGATATCCTATCTGCCCACTGAGGATATCCCTCATTTTGAACTAGGGTGACTGGCAGGATGGTGGTATCCTTGACAGAAAACAGGACCTTCAGAGAAGACGACTTGGGGGGAAAAGAATGAGACTCAGAGAGGTCCAGTGACCTGCCCAGGGTCTCAGAGCTAGGCAGGTACAGAGCCAGGACTGGAACCCAGGTGTCTTGTCTCCCCGAACCCAGGGATCCTTCAGTATACTGCACCCAGGGCATCGACAGATTGATCTCGGGTAAGAAGGCTACTTGCTGAGAGTTCTCTGTACTCTCCAAAGGTTAGCTGGCCATTTTCCCTTTGGATCTCAGAAATGTCATCCATTTGGAGACAAAGACTACAAGGCTGACCTTTCTTCTGCAGCCTCAACTAGCCATGAATATAAATGTACTGTTTTTACTAGGTTATCTTAATTTACCTACTGGAAGTTCATTTTTTTTTTTAAATCATAAATAGGCACACTGATGAATACATCCATGACACAGAATGCGTTCTTGGGTTTGCTTGGAACTATTTCAGGCAAAGTCCAACAACAAGGTGATTCTTTCAGAAAAAATATGCCACCGTAGCCTAAGAAATCTCTGCAGTTGTCTCAACACATTATAGCTTTCACCTTAAAAACCTAACAGAATTGAGATGATATCTTTAAAAAAATAAGAATTATAGATTAAGGTGAGAAACAAAAATAATGTCATTTAACCTTGCTTGCATTGACATTCCCACCCTCCAGGGCTCACCTCTATCACAGGCCTCTTACCTGCTTTTGGAAATCAACTTCAGCCAGATGGATGCTTAGTTGTGATCAGGAGAATCACAGGCTGGGAGAAAAGGAGGTGCTGCCCTGTGGAAAAATATAACGCGATCACACACAGGGGAAGAAGGGTGGGAAAGAGGGTGGCACCCTCTGCCAGCTTCAAATCCTGAGAAAGCTCTGGCTCCTCATCCCTCACAGTGCTTTCAGAAAGCTAGGAACAGCTGGCTCCCCCACAGGTCCAGAAATACCTGTGTTTCTGGCAAGCCCAAAGGAACCAGCACCTGGGGGGAAGAGGACAGTGAAGGCGGTAATGCTTACTTGGCATTTCCGGCTGAATCAGGTCAGCCAGCCTGATATCATACACCCAGCCCAGCAGAGGCTCAGGCCCAGAGTGAATCACTCTAGGCCAGCTGACTGACAGACTCCCAGGTTAGAGAAGGTTTGGTTCCACCCCACACTTGTCCAAACCCAAACACAAGCAAACAAAAGAAGCTGGGAATCAGTACTTAATCTTTCTGTGTGCTTAGGTATGGTATCCATGTAATTTTATCCATACATACATTGCACGATTTACATGTAAAACATCCTTGCTGCAAGATTTGCAAAACCTACCAGCCAGGCCAAATTTCTGCTAGCCCATCAAAATCTCTACTTGCTCATTAACCCGCCCAAACCTAATCATGATAAAGAAAGTTTTCTAAATGCACCTCCCTTTCCCATCTTTGTATAGGTGGGGGATTAAGGCTGGGAATCAGTACTTAATCATCAGCGTGCTTATGTATCATATCTATGTAACTTTATCTACACATGCATCACACAGTTTACATATAAAACACCCTTGCTGTAAGATTTGCAAAACCTACCAGCCAGGCCAAATTTCTGCTAGCCCATCAAAATTTCTACCTGCCCAAACCTAATCATGATAAAGAAAGTTTTTGAAATGCACTTCCCTTTCCCTTCTTTGTGCAGGTGGGGGATTAGGGGTATGGAATAGTGCGCACACTTTCAGACTCATGTTGACTCTTAGGTTGGTTTTGTTGAACGGCTTTTCCTGTTGTTGATATTTTGTTACAAGAAGAGCTCTTTGGATATGGGAGGGAAGAGGGACAAGATCAGAAATTAAGGTGACATAAAGGCCAAAGAGAGTAATAAAGTTTTTTTAAAAAAAAGTAACATTTTCTGCCTGTCATGTATACTCCCTGCCTTCTCTCACCTTTCTAAAGAAACCTAAAGGCAGTACAGGATCGCAGAACCATAAACTGGGGCTGCAGGGGCCCTTAGAAGTCATCTACTCCAACCCCCTCATTTTACAGATGAGGAAACCAAGGCCCAAAGCAGTGAAGTGACTTGGTCATGGTTACACAACTAGTAAAAGCCAGAGTCAAGATCTGAACATAGGTCCTTCTGATTCCAGGCCAGCACCCTAACCACTGTGCTCCTGCTCGTACTATGTCAACAACTACTGATTTAAAAAAAAAAAAAAGAGGCAGCTAGGTGGCGCAGTGGATAGAGCACCGGCCCTGAAATCAGGAGGACCTGAGTTCAAATACGGCCTCAGACCAAACACTTGACACTTACTAGCTGTGTGACCCTGGGCAAGTCACGTAACCCCAATTGCCCCCCCCAAAAAAACAAAAACAAAAAAACCAAACAACAAAAACCTATGTGCCAGGAACCACACAGAGGTATAGCTAGCCAGTCTATATTCTCCCCTGGGCAATTTGGGGGGAGGGGCAGACCACTAAAATACATGGAGAGTGGGACAAGATTAGGGTCCCTGCTCCTCCACTATTCTTTCTTTCATCCTACCATGTCAGGAAAAACAGAGAGAGGAAGCAAGGGATTTTTGGTCGACCTGTCCCATCTTCTAAATGGGAGTCACTGTCCAGGAGTGGAATTCTCATCTTCACATGTAGGTACTATGGGCAAGGCACCAGCCTTGGTCTATGCAGCATGCATCTGCACAAAAGGCTGGCTCTGCTCAAGTCTGCTACCAATGGCTAAGAAAGATGCTCTGTCTTGAGGAGGTGGAGTGATGTCCAGGGGTGGGGAACCTGTGGCCTCGAGGCCACATGTGGCCTCCTAGATCCTTAGGTGCAGCGATTTATTCTGTAAAATTTGGGTTTAGTCAAAAGGCCGAACCTAAGGATCTAGAAGGCCACGTGTGGCCTCGAGGCCACAGGTTCCCCACCCCTGATCGAGACCTTCCCTAAGGTAAATCCCACTCTTCCTTCTCCCTGCACATTCTGTTTAATGAGTTCTCATGCTGCAGAGCCCTGCGACGAGGCCTGACCCCACAATTGATTCCTCACCAGCAGCATCAAACACGCCACTTTCGGGACAGCCCCATGGATGATGACAACTAACTGCTCTTTTTACTCCCTTCGATGTCAAAGCTCTAAAATCCCAAAGAACCCTGGGGAATCTGCCCCACCTCAAACCCCTGAATCTTTCTGAGGTTAAAAGAATTAGTCGTCTTCTACTTCTGAAGAGCCTTAATTTCTGCCAACATAACCGATTATCCTCTCCTGTTCATGTGGCTCAAAACCTAAGAACCCAAAAGACACACCTGCATTTACGACAGAAGAAATGAATGAATTTGTCCATGTTTCTCAAGGCCCCTGGCCTCTTTTTTCCCTTGTCTCAATCCATCAGGTCGATGTCTCTTGTCTATCCTCACCCAAATTTAAAGAGAAGGAAACTGACACTGGCCAGGAAAGTCTTCCAAAACTGGGGGGGAAAGGAAGAGAAGGAAGCTAAGGAATAATCCTGGGACATTTCTGCTTCTGGTTCCTGTTGAATGGTGACTGAGTATATACAAACTAAACCGTTCTAACTAGGGGCTGGCCCCCTTAGATACTGGCCCTTGGTTCACTTTTACTTCTCCAGTGATCCAGAGACCCACCCAGGCCATCTCACCACCTGCCTACCACCACTGACCTGCTCCTTCTCGCCTGGACCAGCACAAAACTGGGGCCTGGATCTCCATTCTGGGATCTTCTGGAATCCAGGCCTCAGTCATTCAGGAAGCCAAGTCACTCATTTATTAGGGCCCTTACTCCAGATGATTAGAGAATGAGCATATACAAAGCAGGCCATTTAGCCCAGGTTACACTCCCTCTCTTGGTCACTTTTTCCCCTATAGGTATTTCCTTCCCTATGAGAACATACTCGTTAATCTTTACATTCCCAATGCTTAGCATAGCACCTGGCACTTTATAAGCACTTAATGCATTTTTTTAATTCATTCTATATAAATTCATTAAAATATTTATTGAATATCTTTTCTGAGCATTTAACATGTTACTTGACATTATGAGAGGTACAAGTAATTTCTTTGCAATCAAAGAAATAACCATCTTGATGGAGAGACAAGACACACATGTGAAAGTTATGTATATATCATCTTATATTCTTTATGTGCTAAAATGAGCGTAGCAGGCATTCTAAAGAGGGAACAATAAATACAGATGGAAATTTTAGGAGTAAGCCTCCTGGTGAAAGCGGGACTTGACCTGAACCTTGAAGGAAAAGAAGAAGTGTAATAGTTGATAAAGAAAGGTCAAGAAGGAGATGGTCAACAGTTGTCAAATGCTCTAAAAAGAGGAAAATGAAGGCTGAAAAGAGATCCTGGGATGTGATGAGGATGATGGTGATTATCTGAAAAAGAGCTTCTGTAGAGAGGTGGGACAATGCTAGGCTGCAGAGGGTTGGGGTGGAATTAGTGCTGGGGAATAGAGGCAGTTCTTTACACATACACAGCTTGTCTGTGTGGTGCAGGCACCCTCTGTGTCAACTGTCCTAAGTCCAAATGCACCAATCAGCAGGGATGCCCAGAGTGGGGCTACTAGGATCACTCATCTCTTCCCCCATGATCATCACTTGGTAACAGCCCAGCCAGATTCAATTGGCCTTTAAAAAGGAGGATAAAGATCCCCCTAAAATCTGTGGCAGGCTCTCTCAACATTATATAACAGAATCAAGAGGAAAGTGGGATCGGATAAACGGGGTGACTCGCAGCTTCTGAACGTCTCTTTGCTAGAGTCCTCAAGATGTCCCCCTTTGGTGGAGCCCAGGTCTAAATCTGGACCCAGCCTGTCCACGCCTCCTGATGCAGACACCACTATCAGGTCTTCAGGGGAGGCTGCTAGGACGATATGGGAAGTCCAAAATTCTCTAGACTTTCTGAAGCTTGCAGGGCCCTCCTCAGATCAAGTTCAAGGCTCTCCCCCCCCCCCCCCCCCGCAGTTCTTTCTTGGGTGTTTGGCTAGAACCCTCATTTCTCGCTCACTGATCCACGAGTTTACATAGGCCCAGAAAGCATGACCAAATCCCTCAGTCAATCTAAATAGTCCTCTTGGCACAGAAAGGGAGGTGTCCAGGCTAAGTTCCCACTTAGCGAGCAGTCAGGTGCACCTTTACTTGATCAATTTTGTACTTTAAGTGGGCTGGGGTGCTAGCAATGGGGCATGACAGAGCCAAGAGAAAGGCTTTTCAAGTGGCTTCTTGAGCGTTGTGTGTGTGTCTGTATAAAAAAAAGTTTTTCCTTTTATTTTCAGTTCCAAATTCTCTCCCCCCCTGGTGACCCACTGAGAAGGCAAGAAATATTATGCCCATTATACATATGAAGTCATGTAAAACATATTTCCAAAACAGCCATGTTATGGGGGAAAAAAAGAAAGATAAAGAAAGTAAAAACATATGCTTCAATCTACACTCAGTCCATGAGCTCTCTCTTTGGAGGTGGACAACATTTTTCATCACGGGTCCTCTGGAATTGTCATGGATCACTACATTATTGATCTGTCTATATTTGAAGGTGAAGGGAAGAAGCTGAACGAGGAGGATCAGGAAGAGGATAACTATAGAAATAAGATCCCTCAAGGACTCAGGAAAGAAAGGCATCTAAGACCCAAATCATAGAAAAATCTGAATGTTAGCCTTGAAAGGACATATGAAAAGACTGAAGTGTCTCCTCCTTTGGCAATGGCATGAGGAGAGAACAGAAGTAAACAGAGCTGTACTGAGGCGAAGGGAAGGCAGATGCGGTGGTTCACAACCCAGTTTTCTCATCAATAAAGAACTAGGATGTGGGGGTGGTAGAGAGGGACCAATGGAAGCTTGATGGCAACAGAAATCATTCGAAGCAGCTCCTATGAGCAGTGGTGCAGGGAATTCAATGGTGTGATAAAACCAGGTAGCATGAATTTATAGGGAACTAGG